GTACAAACATGTGGCTAGCACTGCTCCATCTAGGCACTCTGAGTAGTAGCCTCATGCCATCATTGTATGCCACATAAAGTTTCTGCAGGCTACTTTTTTTGTATCTGCGCCACAGATGGGCCGTGTAAAGTGAAGTGCAAAAAAATCTTCTCAGAGGATGAACACATACCAAACTTTCTGATCAGAATATTAGCCTGTGCATACATCATACAATACTGCCTACAGATCATCAGACAGGTCATCAGTTATATAGTGTCCCAAATATTTAATTTCATTGCAGATATTGAGGACAGTGCCAGATAAAGAGAAGTCAGGGGTTATCAGATGCTTATCTGCTCTACTTCTAACAATCATAACATTGCTTTTCTTAGCGTTATACTTGATGTCAAAGTCTAACAATCATAACATTGCTTTTCTTAGCGTTATACTTGAAGTCAAAGTCATAACCATACTGGGAACAGACCCTTAGCCTTGTTGAAGGCCAGCACTATATGGGCATAAGATTACCAAATCATCTGCATACATTATGTGATTGATTATGCGGTCACCAACTACACAGCCTGTTTTACAGCAATTCAGGCGCTTTGATAGTTCATCCATGTAGATGTTAAAAAGGTAAGGAGACAGTAAACTTCCCTGCCTTACCAACATTAAATGAATCAGACATTGTGTTACCCCATTTAACATACATCGATTGATGACCATACCAGTAGACAAGAATTCTAATTAGATATTTGGGTACACCTCTGCTTTCTAGCTTGCAGAACAGTTTTTGGTGATTCACACGATCCAATGCTTTAGAAGCATCAATAAAACACATAAATACTGTAGTGTTGTGCAAATTATACAAGTCTAAAATCTCCTGTAGCGCAAAAATACACATGTCTGTGCCATGTTTGGGTTTAAAATCGAATTGATTATCAGAGGTCAAGACAAACTCTTCCAGCCTATCAAAGTAATTTCTTGGAAAGATACTTGTACTTTTACTCTAGTAACACTTTGTGGTACTTTATACAAGACTGTAAATTGGGATTTCAACAGTTCCTCTGCTACACTTTAGATCCTGAAGATACGATTTGTGTTCCCTGTTCAGTTGTTCCTGTATTTGTATTTTTAACTTACAGAAGTCAGTGGAGCTGCTGGGACAATTCAAAGAGTTTATGGTCAAATACGGTAAAGTCTACAAAAGTCAGGAAGGTAAGCAGTTGTTACAGCATGTTGCTAAAGTATTTACTACTTTGTCATTATTCTTCTTTTGTTGCTTTACAACCTGGAATTTGCTGTGTGGGTCAGATATTTTAAATCAAACTGGAAATCGATTTAAATTCCAGGTCAGAAAGCAGCAAAACAAACAAAATCAATACCAGGGGTGAAAATATTTTTGCCATTGTACATCATACCACGTACACACACACACACACAGTCACATTTCTGTCAACGCACAGATAATATGATGAACACACAGCCCATTGTGTGTTCACAGCTTTAAAACAAATAGACTCATTTTGCAACAGTTTCTTTGGAGAATGAAATCAAAATTTCAAGGCAAAGACTGAAAAAAGGAATTAATAAAATACACTATGAAGTGAAAACAGTTTTCTAAAATCTCCCAATGAAATTATAAACAGTTAAACTATTTTATTTTTCATGTAACAAGTAACCACGTGGTGAACAAATATAATAGTATAGAGGTTAGGATTTAGATAAACTGTAAAGAGTTTGTACTGTTTTAGAAAAAACCTCAAACAGATGTCAGGATAATATATTATTTATAGTTATGAGGATCATGTCATATCAGTGTTTATGAAATATGTTATATTGTTCTACTTCCATGGCAGAGGCCAACCGTCGTTTACACATCTTCCACGAGAACCTGAAGATGGCAGAGAAGCTTCAGGATTTGGATCAGGGTTCAGCGGAGTACGGTGTCACCAAGTTCAGTGACCTGACCGGTACGTGACTGAGCACAAGCTTGTGTTTTCAGTTTCCTACGAGCAAACATCACCTTCTGCTGTTAAAGTGCTGTTTCAGCAACATGTTGAGTAGAGCAGATGTTTGACAGCTGTCTGCCTGCGTTTGTTCAGAGGAGGAGTTTCGCTCCATGTACCTAAACCCACTCCTGAGTCAGTGGACTCTCCATCGACCAATGAAACCAGCTCCTCCTGCCAAAGGCCCCGCCCCCGACCGCTGGGATTGGCGGGATCACGGAGCTGTCAGTTCAGTGAAAAACCAGGTGCCTAAAGGGAAAACAGTCTGAAGTTAAACCACATGCTTATTAGGAAAAAAATCATTTATTATTGTGTGTGTGTGTGTGTGTGTGTGTG